AAATTTTCACATAGGTTCAACATGTATTAAAACCAGATAAATAAGTCGAATATGACAGTTGAGCGACCGTGCTAGAGCCACGGAACTTGGGAATGCCTAACACCTTCTCCCGGGTTAATAGAATTCCTTACTCGGATTTCTGGTTCGCGAACTGTAATACAGAGTCAATATTTTCCTCGATTCGGGATTCAACCGGTAACTTGGGACACCATAAATCTCCCAAGTGGCGACTCTGAATCTTTAAATAAAATCCCGTTTCGATTGTCCTTTAATTGGAAAAACTCCCTTTTACGCCCCTTTGCGACGACGCGGGTAAAAAGGAGGTGTGACAAGGAGTTTTGCCTGTTCTTATATGCGGTATTCTATTTTGTAAGTGACATGCAGATAAAATAGCTTCACCCCACAAATTATCAGGAGCATTAGAACTAACTAATATAGAGTTCGTCATCTCTTTCAATGTTCTATTTTTTTTTTCTTTCAGCTACTCCATTTGACTCAGGTGAATAAGACGGAGTTACTTCATGAATAATTCCATTATTTTCACAAAATTCATTTAAAGATAAATATTCTCCACCTCTATCTGATCTAATTCTCTTGATTTTTCTACTAAGTTGATTTTCAACCTCAGTTTTATAAGAAATAAAATCATTAAATGCATCATCTTTATTTCTAAGCAAATACAACTTAGTATATCTAGAAAAATCATCAATAAAAGTCACATAATATCTTTTACCACCTCTAGTCATAGTCTGCTTCAAGTCGCCTAAATCAGTGTGAATCAAAGATAACAATTCACTTTCTCTATTTACGAAAAACAAGCATTTCTAGTACTTTTAGCTTCATCACATATTTTACACTTGTTAATATTATTTGAGTCTAGACCAGATATTAATCTTAATGACTGTATTTTCTTTATATATGTGACATTAACATGTCCTAGTCTAGCATGCCATAGAGAAATAAACTCAACCATATAAGTAGAAGTAGATACATTTCCATTGATAACATCAGAAATATTAAGTACAAAGAGTCCTTGGCTACAGTATCCCTTCCCACAAACACATTATTTTTGGTCATTATGATCTTATCAGATNACGTTGCAAATTCCTTTTAAAAATAATGAATGAGACGAGCCTCGACAAACAAAAATACACAAGTTGCGGGGCCCTCTATACGTGTTGGTAAAGTTACTTAGACTTCAGGATGGGCCGTTTATTAAAATTTCACGGCCCTACCCAAAATAATGACACACTAGTCGCTTTAGGCGCGTATTTAATAATGTTATCTTCTTAAACTCGGGTGCACATTTATGTGACCCAAATCCAAATCTCAACAAAGTTGAAATATGTCAATAACCACGGATGCATTGATGTGACGTGGTTCAAGATGTATTTTCACGATGTTGCAAATTCTCGGTAAAAATAATAATAATAAAAGCGGTAAATAGTTAAAATTTTCACATAGGTTCAACATGTATTAAAACCAGATAAATAAGTCGAATATGACAGTTGAGCGACCGTGCTAGAGCCACGGAACTTGGGAATGCCTAACACCTTCTCCCGGGTTAATAGAATTCCTTACTCGGATTTCTGGTTCGCGAACTGTAATACAGAGTCAATATTTTCCTCGATTCGGGATTCAACCGGTAACTTGGGACACCATAAATCTCCCAAGTGGCGACTCTGAATCTTTAAATAAAATCCCGTTTCGATTGTCCTTTAATTGGAAAAACTCCCTTTTACGCCCCTTTGCGACGACGCGGGTAAAAAGGAGGTGTGACAAGGAGTTTTGCCTGTTCTTATATGCGGTATTCTATTTTGTAAGTGACATGCAGATAAAATAGCTTCACCCCACAAATTATCAGGAGCATTAGAACTAACTAATATAGAGTTCGTCATCTCTTTCAATGTTCTATTTTTTTTTTCTTTCAGCTACTCCATTTGACTCAGGTGAATAAGACGGAGTTACTTCATGAATAATTCCATTATTTTCACAAAATTCATTTAAAGATAAATATTCTCCACCTCTATCTGATCTAATTCTCTTGATTTTTCTACTAAGTTGATTTTCAACCTCAGTTTTATAAGAAATAAAATCATTAAATGCATCATCTTTATTTCTAAGCAAATACAACTTAGTATATCTAGAAAAATCATCAATAAAAGTCACATAATATCTTTTACCACCTCTAGTCATAGTCTGCTTCAAGTCGCCTAAATCAGTGTGAATCAAAGATAACAATTCACTTTCTCTATTTACGAAAAACAAGCATTTCTAGTACTTTTAGCTTCATCACATATTTTACACTTGTTAATATTATTTGAGTCTAGACCAGATATTAATCTTAATGACTGTATTTTCTTTATATATGTGACATTAACATGTCCTAGTCTAGCATGCCATAGAGAAATAAACTCAACCATATAAGTAGAAGTAGATACATTTCCATTGATAACATCAGAAATATTAAGTACAAAGAGTCCTTGGCTACAGTATCCCTTCCCACAAACACATTATTTTTGGTCATTATGATCTTATCAGATTCAAATGACACTTTCACTCCGGCTCTTCTCAACAAGGATACAAAGATCAAGTTTGCCCTCATAGTAGGAACATGCAGTACATCAACAAGGGCTAAATTTTTTTCCGAAGTGAGTTTCAGGATAACTTTACCCTTACCCAAGACTTTGGTAGTACTTGAGTCTCCAAGGTAGACCTCTTCTCTAGCATCTTCTACAGGAGTATAAGAGGAAAATGCTTCTCGATTTGCACAAATGTGCTGAGTAGCCCTAAAGTCTATCACCCATTCTTTTGCATGTGTTACAATGTTTACTTGAGCAATGACAGCTGCAATAATATCACCTCTTTAGGCTAAGTTAGCCTTAGGAGTATTAGTTTTTCCTTTGTCATTTCTTGCTCTGTACCTGCACTATGAGGCATGAAGGCCCGATTTTCCACAAACAAAACAAGAGCCTTTTTTTCTTTTAAGATTAGAATTTTTTGGCTTGCAACCTTGAGACTTATTCTCGTACCTTTTGCGGTTGTTGTTGCTGCTTTGCACTAAGTTTGCTTTAAGAGCTGTCATCCTAGCTTTGGCAGATTCTTTCTGTTGGAATCTTCAATTAGGATGTGGGTCATAATTTCCTCAATGGTGAAATTTTTCTGTTTGTGTTTTAAATTATTTTTGTAGTCACTCCATGAGTCAGACAGCTTCTCAATTAGCACTCCAGCAGCAAACTTCTTTGGTAAAGATATCCCCTCGGCATTCAAGTCTTCTAACAATTTTTGAAATTCGTTGATTTGTACGTTCATCTCTTTATCATCTCTCATCTGCCACTGATAAAATTTTTCTACTATTAATTTTGTTTTGTAGCATCTTTAGCAGTGAATTTTTTAATTAAGGCTTCCCATATAGCCTTTGCTTCTTTATAACTGCTATACACGTCAAACAGTTCATTAGAAATAGTTTGCAATATGGTATAACGGCATACCTTGTTGGCGTGTTGCCATGATTCCACTATTTTATTATCATCGTCTGCACTAGGTTGTGGATGCAGCATTGCATGTGCAACACCATGGACATCAAGCAGTGAGAAAATACGTTCTTGCCAACACTTGAAATCTTCATTGGCAATAATTTCAATATTTGACACATCTGGAAATGGCCTGGCATATGGCAGTGCAACTGGGGCTGGAGCAACAGACGTAACGCCAATATTGGCGGTATCAATAGTATTTTCAGCATCAGTGTTATTTGCCATAGTTTCTTAGATTGTAGTAATTGAGAGCAAGAATTTCAATAACACTGTTTCAATATTCTTTGTAAGTAGATACACAGATTAGCTTGATCGTGCTGGGCACTGTCCTAAGAAACTATTTCAGCAGTGTGAAATATTTCTCCAGGATTAAACAAGTTTACCTCTATTTTATTTAGAGGATACATGAATCAGAAAAATATTTATATTATAATAATCTAACAAGATTGGAAAAGAGAATAGGACAAAGAAAATTAATAAGAAAAACTGGAAATAAGAGAAGCTGAGAGAGAAAGAGAAGAATGCTAAATAGAAAAGCACTTATGATGGGATGATTATTGTGCCGCCAAATGATAGCTTTTTATACTTGTAATTGCATGTACATTTGTTGTGCATGGCAAGAAAGTGGCTAATCAAATTTGCCACGTGGCATAGCCTTCTAGGGATCTGACTCCTCTCAATTTCCCTTCTCTCCATTTTTCCCAAGTTCTAGCTTAGATTAGGCACATATGGCATAAATTAAAATTATAACAGAGATAGTTTACACTATAAACATTAACCAATGCTACAATGCTTCTAGGAATAGATATGATCACTTCCTGATAAGTCTAACTTCCTTGGAACTGTTTTACCTGATAAGTAATGAACTTTTATATTCATGAACTGTTTCACCTGATAAGTCAACTTCCTTGGAACTGAATTTTCTCAGGTAAAACAGTTCATGAATATAAAAGTTCCGTAACACTGGAAAAGACTGATATGGCTGTGGAAAAAAATTAAATAGGGGAGAGAAAAAGTTTTAATTTGTTTATTAACGGACAAGTTATTAATTATCTAAATCATAGTTAGGCTTTGTTTTTAGTCAAGTTAAATCTTAGCCATTAATTTTAACTTATGACATATGTCCCTAATCTAAATTAGAACTTAGGGAAAATGGAGAGGAGTCCGATCCGCCTTCTAGAAGGCTAAGACACTTGTCTTTAAAATATTGACACACCTTCATTTGGTTCTTGCTAACATGAAGTATGAGAAATTTTGTTTAACTCTAGTGAATTGAATTTTTAAATTTTTTTTTTTCGCCCACATCCTTAATGGTGGGCTCGCTACCCCTACAATCAAAATAGAAACTGAACATTTCATGGTTCAAAATTTTCAATCCTTGTCCTAACCCAGTTTAAATAATAAACTATTTAGTTTAACCATTGTTTAAACTAAATTTATTGGAAAAACCAAGGGAAAATGATGAAAAGGGAAGCCACAACCTCACTATTAACCAACACCACAGTACACTAGTAGTATACTCATGCTCTAGTACATTAATTATACACCAAAATACATTCATTTTTTGACACGATTTGTACATGCTCTACAGGGAAATTAGTAGATCAACATATTAAGTAACAACAACTCGATAAACATTGGACTATAACGACGGCAGGGATAAGGTCTAAGGTCTGCATGCACACTACCATGGCCAGACCTCACTCGTAAATTTATACCGAGTTTGTCGTTGTTGTGAAAACCCCATAAACGTTGGACTAGTACTGAACAAAGAACTTAAATTTCACCCAAGTTTCAAACTCCAGAAACCAACAACATTCTCAAGAAACTCGAGGAATAAAACTTCAGCTTTTGAAACTTCTTCCTCTGATGCCTGTTCTAGCTTGTTATTAGCTACGGTTTCAAGGGATTGACAATGTTGTTTGAAACTCTCATTACCCCATCTCTTACAAGCTGCCTTCATTTCTTCTGGAGTAGTATTGTCTTCTTCCAAACAATGCGCAAAACCATAGTGATATACTGATTCCACTGCCCATAAAATGGTTACTGCCTCTGTATACTTCACGTCTGAGCTCGTCAAACGTTCAAAAAACCTGTCCCATAAATTTAGATGAAACCATACTTAACAAACAAAAGATGATAAAATTAACCAAGAAGTGAGTGACACATACACCACTTACTACTTATAGCCTATGTTGCACGGATTCTACATGTTGTCGGATCCTTCTAAAGTAGTGTATTTTTGGAGAGGATTCGACACGAGTACGACATTATTTTAGAGAGTTCACGCAACATAGCTAATAACCGCTACCAGTGGATAAACGCACACCACTTATCATGCCATTTGATTGTAGTTTAATAAGTTATGATAATTTTCGCCTAATTAACAGGAAATACAATATCTTGTGTTTTTAGCCTGCCCTCAATTTGAGAATGCAAATTTCAAATCTTATCCTGTAATGTCTTTCGAGTTTTTATTTTTTTTTAATTTTGTTTATTATTTTGCATTGATGTTGCAAAAACTATATAGATAATCAAATACATCACACTTATCAATTAGTTATAAGTAAATTTCTATGCCAAACATGAGTGGATAACCTGATCACAAATAATAACTAATCCACTGTCACGCTAAACTATAAGCTTTAGGTGTATATGATGTAATGCATTTCTCTTAATAACATATAAGAGTTATAGTTTTTGCCACTAGCATACTCACTCCATCCGCCATTGATACTTTTCGGATTTCAAGAGTCAAGCTTCTTAATTAAAACGATGGTGAATTCGAACATAGAATCTTTAACTTATTTAAATATAATTCATATATTTGAAATCTATATAAAAAGTAAATATTATAAGCCGTATATAAAAAGATCATAGTTTAACTTTTTGGACGGAGGGGAGGGAGTAATTATTAATATTGTTGCTGCAAGATTTCTAGTATAGTATCTTTAAGCACAAGAAGGGGAGCCTTCACGTAACTGGTAAAGTTGCTGTCATGTGAGCAGGAGGTCACGTTCAAGGCGTGGAACAACTTCTTGCATTTTTGCAGGGTAAGACTACGTACAATAGAGCTTGTGGTCCAGCCCTTCCTCGCATAGCGGGAGCTTAGGGTACCAAACTGCCTTTTTTTTAATGTTTTAAGTACTAATACATACCTAAAGTAATCAAGGATGGGCTTGTGATCAACAACGACACTGGTCAAGGAAACGTGCCACATGGGAGCTTCTTCTTTTAACCATGATATCTCGTCATTCAAATAGGGTAACCCAGCCAATATGACTTCCACATCTGAGCTATCAACCGATTCTTTCCAAGCTTTAAGCAATACACTAGCTGCAAATGGTGCCAACGCCGTTTTCACAAACACATATTCCCTTCCCTGCAGTTTAATTTGGTTCAATTTACAAAACTATCAATTTAATCATCACACACATGGGAAAAAGAAAAGGAGATAATTTTAATATCTGCTTTGATCCAAATTCACATGATTGTCTCGCATCATTAAAAGATATCTACATTTTATAAGTAGATAAACTATACTCTACTAATAATGCAAAAAAATAAAAAAAATCACACAATTATTAATATATGTAAGTTGAATTGTTAATTTACCAGCCATATCTTGAAGGAAGAGAAGTCGATAGAACCATCATGTATGCTATTAATAAAAGGGTGTTTGGTGGCTGCAGTGTACTGCAATTTGTGCTTCCTTAGCCACTTCTCTATTTGTGTTAGTTTCTCTTTTGGTTTCTCAATGGTTAATGCTTCATTCGTTTTCTCCATCTTCCTCTGTTTTTTCCTTCCTACTAACTTGGAATCTCTCGCAATTATTTTGCTCTGTTTATTCCTTGTTCTAATTGCACTCTTTACTCGTTATTTTTTGTTTTGATAAATGAGATGTTGAATGCTTCTTTTGACAAGTGACGAGCATATATAATCGGCACGTGTTATAGAAAAATTAGTGTTGGCATCTTTTTTCGAGAAGTGTCCAGCTTGCTGCTAGAGATGGGAGCTTCTAATTGCTTCTAGTTACTTCGTGCAGCGGCGGAGACAGATTTTTCGTTGAGAGGGTTTAAAAAAAAATTAAAAGAGATTGTAGTTAGAAATAATTTTACAAAAGTTTTGAACTCCCGGACTACTAAGTTATGCTTTTAGATTGTATTAAGAAAATTTAAAATATATTATATAAAAGTAAAAAATAAATTTCACCTTATATATACAGTCTATTTTTTCAGCAAAGGGGGTCGAATGAACCCCTTCCGCCCCTAAATTCGCCCCTGAGTTCGTGTTGCCATTTTTGATGATATTTTTTAATTTAAAGGGTTAAATTAAATAATAATTTGAACATCTGTAAAGAAATAATTATCTATTTTTTGGGGGGTCAGAATAATTAATGCTCATAAGTGCGGCAAGTTATTTTATCTTTACATACGAAAAGTATTTTCAATCACATCAAACAAACATTGAAAAACATGTTGGTCCATAACTTTCTTTTAATTTCTTAAAGATTTTTTTTGGTATTTATTTTATGACATAATTTCTCATCTTAAAAGGATATGATCTTTTACAGAGGACGTGAAAGTCGAGTATTAGGATTGAAGGTTAGCGGGTAGTTAAGCGTATTTTCTTTCTACACTAGTAGTCTTAGTATTCTTGTAATATTTTCTTATTCTTAGATTTCTTTTACCACATGTTGTTGCTTTTGCTTCGGCTATCTTATTATCTAGCTATTGTTACTACTTCCTTTTCTATAACTTTAACACTATAGTATTTCTATTGTATAATTGATGTGATTTTTCTTTTCTTGAGCCGAGAGTTTATTAAAAATAATCCCTCTACTTGAATAAGGTATGGGTAAGGTCTACATAGAAGATATAATCAAGTAAATAAAAGTGTATTTTCTCTAACATCTTTAGATGAGATGGTAATATACTTCAACAAGGTATCAGAGCAAGATGCAATAGGTTCACATCTCAGCGCCACCCAATATGAAAAGTAATTTTCAAGTGCTTGGCTCATTAGAATCAAACCCGCACGTGAGGAAGCGTGTTGAAGACATCATTAAGTAAATAAAATGTGTTCTCTACGACAGCTTAAACTTTTAGATGTATGCTGACACACACTTCAACACATATTTTCCCAAACCCACTTGTGAAATTATTGTTGCTGTTAGAAGCAACATTGTAGAAAGTTATGAGGACCAAAGTGCTTAAAGAAATAATTAAAGAGGCGAAGTCGTAGTTTTAGCTTACAAAAAAGCGCATTTTTGTTCGTTCCTCTCCATTTTTCCCTGTACCTCAAATACGAGGTCCTCAATCAATCTGCTGTATTTTCATGGCAGTATCAATATCACCCTCGTATTCAAATTCACCCCCAATTCTACCAACCCCATCAATTACCAAATCCTTTTTTCCCATTTACCCCCTTCACAGTCTCAAATTTCCATTTTCACCCCTCAAATCTCAGCCCTCAAAAACTTACCCTAGAAGAAAAACCATTCTTGTTTGTGCAGCAGAAAATGAAAATAGCAATACTGCTAGCTCAGATAAAGAGGTAAAGGAAAAAAGTGATAACGGTGGAAGTAATAATAGTAGTGGTGGAAGGCCCAGATTGAATTTGAGATGGGTGGATCTGATATTGGACCCGGACCCGGATAATATTGTGGCAGTTGGATTAACGGGTCTGTTGACATGGGCTAGTGTAAGTATATTGTGGCAGCTGTTTGTTATAGCATTGGCTATTCTTCTTGCTGCTCTTAAGTACTCTTTTATTGCTGCTCTTCTTATTTTTATCCTTATTACCCTTCTTTGATCACTAGTTTGTCCAAGTTATTTAGCCATTTGGGTTATTCCCTTTTTCTGCACTAAATTTTTAGTGTAAAGCATAGTATATTCAATAGTATTTTCTTTTGTTTAGCTAAATTAGTTTGCACTCTCAAAAGTAAATTGAAACTCCATTGTATTTTTTGCACTTGCAACTTGGTTACGGAGTGAAACCATATCCATGTTTGTTACTCCTTATTTTAATAAACGGAAAAGGGCCAGAAATGCCCTTAATGTATTATAAATGGCTTAAAATTGCCCTCCTTCCACCTATTAGTTCAAATTTACCCTTAATGTTACTTTTAGGCTCGAAAATATCCCTCTCTTAACAGAAAGATGACATGAAATTGATGGGTGTTTTAATTGAACATGTGGCATTTATTTAGTGGTCAATGGAAACCAACTCATTATAGTACCGAGTTTCCACAAACTCTTCTTGCTCCGAGCTGTTATTACTTTCAGAACAGATACTACCGGTACCACCCTGATCAAAATTCAAAAGAACTTATCAGAAAGATTATAATTATAATTAATTCACATTCTATTAAAGGAATGCAAGGGTAATTAGCAGAAGGGTAGGGGCAGAGTACTTGAGATTGAAGAGATCGGTGATTGTCAAGTTCTGGAATAGGTTTACTGCGGGTTTACTTGAGACTGAATAGGTTTACTGCGGGTAGGTTTGGCGAGTCTTTTTGGTGCTTGAGCATCGAACATGGCTTTGACTTGGTTGGTGATTTGGAGCTGCTGATGTTCTAGATTTTTTCTAACCCAACCCAAAAGATCTAATCCATCTTTTAATAGTCCATCCTTCTAAAATAAACCAACGTTTCTGAAAACCCCATTGGCAATTATTTTCTTCTCTTTTGTTCCAAATAGAGTTTTTCCTCTTCTTCTTCCTTCCTTGATTTTCCATCTGCTTTCTGAGTTCAGTTTTTGTATATTTCAGTTCTTCTAATGTTTTGATACCAATTCTTTTAATTCTTTGTCTTAGTTCTTTTAATTCTTTAATTTAAGTTAATTTTCTGGTTTCAATTCGTTTAATTTTCTTTTTTAGTTCTAATATTAATGTTGCTTAATTGTGACAGTTGTTGTGTTGGTTAAATTGTGTTTAATGTATGGCTGGTTCTATTATGTTGATGGAATATCAAGGAAGGAAGAAAGAGATACTGGGTCAGAATAACGAAGCTTTTGCTTATGTTACCAGGCGAAAAGAAAATTACTGTCAAGTTCATATGCTCATTGTTTTGTTGCAGCCAAGATGTGGTTTTGATTATCTTAAAAGGATGGATTATTAAAAGATGGGTCGGATCTTTTAGGTTGGGTTAGAAAAAATCTATGTGGACCCCTAAATAAATGCCACAAGTTCAATTAAAATGCCCATCAATTCCATGTCATCTTTCCGTTAAGATAGGGATATTTTTGAGCCTAAAAGTAACATTAAGGGCAAATTTGAACCAATAGGTGGAAGAGGGCAATTTTGAGCCATTTCTAATATGTTAAGGTCATTTTTGGCCCTTTTCCGTTTAATAAATGAGAAACCTCTAGTGGCGCACGCTTCGAAAGTCGGTAGGTAATGAGCTCGTCCCTTTACACTTCTCTACCTAATTTCCAGGTTGTGATAGTTTTCGAACCCATGACATGCGCCTAATCCAAATATCACAACAAACGGACACTTACCACTAGACCTAAGCCCCGGGTTAAAGTTCTTTTTTCAGCCTCTTATTTCTGTCTTTGGTAGTAATATCATTCTCAGTTCTGTACTTGTTATTTTTTTGTTGTTTGTTTTCGTTAATTGCAATTTTACAACCAATCAATTGTTTAACAGAGGAATTACTAATTAGAAGGGGCAAATAATGGATCTCTGAGCAACCACCTTAGGAATAAGAACTCAATGACTGTTGCATGATGCAAAAAAGCATACATAAATCAGAAGAAAGCAAATATTTTAGGGTTGTTTTAATATCTGGAGAGAATACTGCAATGAGCTTCAAACAATTATGAGTTAACTAAGAGAAATAAGAAGCTTTCTTTTATCGATCGAAGATTACAACTCTGAATCATTGCAAATCATATTGCAAATTATTTTTTTATTACTACCGGCTGTTTCCCTTGCTTCGGTTATCTTATTGCTTTGTTATTTTGCCGTTGTTATTGTTCTTTATCTTCATTAATCTCAACATAGCTTCTTCACAATTGTTTTTCCTTTTCAAACCTGCTGATGAATGCTTTTCTTGAGCTGAGTGTCTATTTCAAATCGCCTCTTTACCTCCACAAGGTAGGGGTAAGGTTTGCGTACACACTACCCTCCCCAGATCACACATTGTCGGAATGCACTGGGTGTATATAACTATACGTAGTGACCTCCTGTCTGCTGCAGCATTTTGTGAAAGAAGTGCATGAATTGGAGTTGCAGTGTCGCTGTTCAAACAGGTTGTGAGCAGTGACTGCATATATTCTTATGATGCTTTCACCTTTGTATCTATTAGTACTACAACTAAGGTAAAAATGAATTGGTTGTACTACTAAGGGAGTGGGAAAATTAGTACATTTAAGCTAAAACATCACCTCAACTCGAGATAATAGTTCCATTTCTTATTCCAAAATGCAACAGAAGACCTATCTCTTGCTGAATTTAATTCAGTATGAAGTTCACTGGTCATATGAACATGTTAACATAACAAGTGAGCAAATGCTAGCTAGAAGAGTTTAGTAGGTAAACTTTTGTTTTACCCAAACCTTGGGTTCTAGCTTCTTTAAAGTCTTGATCACAAATTTATCAACGGATAAGGGTCAAATATATCCTTCTACTATGAGAAAAGGATCAAGTTTATCATCCGTTATACTTTCTATCTAAAAATACCCTTACTGTTATACAATTAGGTCAAATATACCCTTCATCCGTTAAGATTGTCCAAGGTGGATGCCCAATCCCACGTGGCACTGACATTTTGGCCACGTGGCATGCCACCTCACTCCCCTAAACCCATCTTACCCCTCTCTCTTACTTCTTCTTCTACCACTAGAAACTCCTACTCCTCCCCAACTAGTGTCACCAACAACATATGCTCACCATAATTTTGAAATAAAAAACCAAGTTGAGATTGAAAATTGTTTCCGTGTGTGAACACGTTATATTTTAATTAGTACCAAATGTAATTAAGTGGGTCACAACTTTTCTAAACAAGTTAAATGGAAATTGAACCATTTTTCCCGTCTTTCTTTTCCTCACAATTTTTCTGTATTTTTCCCTTTTACAAATTTTCGGTTTTCTGTCCTTTCATTTAAATTTTATAGACGTTCTATTTAAATTTTATTTTTTTGATAAAAATGACACATTTTATATTATAGAAACTTTTTAGATTTAATTTTTTCAATTTACCTTATAACAATCAAAACATTACGGTGTGTTAAGATCACAAAAGCTTTATAGTAATACTTTTAGCAGGTGTTAAATTCTTATATTTCTTAATTTTCATACACAATCAAAACATATTTTTAAGAAAATAAAAAAAGACGAAGATGTGAAAATTAGTAGGTAATAACGCTACTGCTACTAATATATCTTGAAAATTAAAGTTAGAAAAAATATATCATAGACGAATATATTATAAAAATAATATATAATAGTAGTGTTGAAAATTAAGATGGGTTGCTTAACAATATAGAAAAAATATATCATACACGAATATTTTCAAATTTTAATTTTCAAGATATATTAGTAGTTACTATTTAGGTTTTGGACTCAGTGTTAATGGTAGTAGTGTGGTCGAGGGGTAGAAGGTGTTATTGGAGGAAGAAGAAGTAAAAGAGAGGGGTAAGATGGGTTTAGGGGAGTGAGGTGGCATGCCACGTAGCCAAAATGTCAGTGTCACGTGGGATTGGACATCCACCTTGGATAACCTTAACGGACGAGGAGTATATTTGACCTAATTGTATAACAAGAAGGGTGTTTTTAAACAGAAAGTATAACGGAGGATAAACTTAATTCTTTTCCCATAGTAGAGGAGTATATTTGGCCCTTATCCGATTTATCAATTATCATCACGAGAAAGATAGAAAATGCTGCCACTTTTTCCAGGAGAGGAAAACTCTCTCAGACCATCATCACCACAGATGGACATATCATGTACTCTATAGCATCCAGTTTGAACGAAAAAAAATTCTATGGGATAAGGCTCGGAAATCCTACGGTGGTTGGGGTTGAAGGCTAGCTCACTTGGTGAGCTTCTTGCCTTCCACAGTTGAGGTGGAAGATTCAAATCCCATCAGTAATTTAGGCATTCTCTTCCCCTGCCCTCCTCCATGTAAAAAAAGCAAAAAAAATCCTACTCCTTCCGTCCCAATTTTTGTGGCGGAGTGTGGATTTCGAGAGTCAATCGAGTTTTTCTTTGACCCTAATTTTTTCATATGCTTTTTAGATATTTTGAATATTAATTATTGTGACTTATAGTATTTTTTATGTAGTTTTCAAATATATAAATTTTGTTTAAAAAAATTTAAAGATTCTATGTTCGAATTCACATTTAAAATTAAGAAATTTGACGTCCGAAATCCGAGCTCGGCCATATAAACTGGGGCAGAGGGGAGTACAACGGTTTTGTCAACAAACCAGATTGACTAACGTAACCCATCCTTAAGGAGGCTTTTTCCAAAATTCACTAACCAAGATAAGTTTTAGAGGCAAGAATAAAGCGAACACAAAAATTACATTGTATTTGAAGAAGCTCATTAACAGTAAATTCTTTTCTTTACAAAACCCCTTGAAATATTAGACATGAAATTCAATTACTAATTAAGAACAAACAAGGGGAGCATATGAGTTAGGATACATGCGATCCAAGATAATAACAAAAGCCATAAAAATGTGAGGTTCAAAGCCTGGTTGTACCACCAAGCTAAAAACGTCGTCGCTAATCAAAACGGTAGTGCGAGTAGTAGCGTTGGCTACTTTTCTTGATATATTGGCTACAATATGACCAGTAGAATTGGTTATGTTGCAATTTCGCCTACGGAATGAACCCTCTACCCTGTAATCGGGACGACTGACATTATCATTCTCTCCATCAGCAGTAAAGACTTGAGCCTGGCATGAGTTTGTCGCAGTTGTTCGCATCATCATAAGCAGTGATAATGGAGGTTTTCTCATTACGAACAAAGGAGGAGAGTGGTTTCCATTGTTTTCATCTTCTTCCCCTCCGCTATATACTTTCCATTCGTATTGTAATTGCATGCTCCTCATCTGTAAAATTTTTGGGATTAAGTATGATTATGTAATTTGTAATTAGTTAATAGAAGAAATATTGAGATGATCGAAGAACTGACTAATCCTAAGTCAAAGGGTCGAGAAACCCAATGTCACTATTCTTGATCAACTTGGAGTTGGGCTTTCGTTTCACACTATTACAGTTTACGGATATGAAAATAATGGTCAAAATCAAATTCACCTATTGTGATTCCTAATGCTAGAGTCAAAATAGGGACAAACATCCATATGATCCCCATAGACTTTTTTAAGGATTTCAATTTGGAAAAAGAATTAATAGTTTCTATTCTTGTTGTATTAGTTATCATTTTAACGATGAATTTCTCCCATAATGATATCTATGCTATCTGATGCGCTACAACAATGATTAATAAAGAGCCTAATATAGCTAATTTAAGAGATAATTGAGCATGCCATGATGTCGTTAGGATCTCATATAGGCCTTTATGCCCTGACCTGTAAATGGACCTTTTCATTCCTGAAGAGGTGCATAGCATGCCAGAATCCTCTTCAAAATGGTAGGAAATAATAAAATCATTGGAGTAGATACACAAATCACCTTAAATCTAAGAAGCCGAGTTCGTGAAGATATAAAAAAATTAAAGCATATGTACATGTAATTAATACCTGAGGTCTCAATGTTAAGAGAGGTTTACCATTTGCATCCATGAGTACAAGTCCACCAACACCAGATCTTCCTTTGCCAGCAGCAATGGAACGATTCTTTCTTCTGGTGTAGTTGTCTACCCGGAAAACTAATTGTCCTAGTTTATCAAACACCGTGAATCCATCTGTCCCTTGGAAACTCATACTCGATCTCTTCCACACTGTGAAGATAGACGCCGCGCAGGCAGCAGCCGGTGGCGGCCTACTTATTAAGCGACTTGCAGGAGCTGGAGGAAGAACACATGAATAATCATTTCATGATCAGGGACAGAGTTAAGAGTGCAGGAAGTAGGTTTGGCCGAACCAGTAATTTTGATTCAAAGAAATTCATGTAATATGAACAAGTTATTTATTCGATAATGCAAGAGGACTAAAATTTCGAACCTATAAGCTTCAAATTCTGATTCTGTCTCTGTTCATGATCGTCGTGTCTACAAGGTTTGCTTCGCTTTCTATGATGATCTGCTGCTGGATGAATCTTAGACATGTATTCCAATGAGATAATTTAATTAGATGATGGTTAATTTCTCCCTTTGCCTTCCTCTTAATAACGTTAGAACCAATAAAAATCTTGGAGAATATAGTCGGATAATTATTGTTTAATATGATTAATTAATCTTTCTATTTGGTTTTGATCAATATGCATAGTGGAATATGACGAGCCTTTGTCGCCTCCGTCTTCCTTGAATGGGTTTCAAACATGGTACCACGCAAAAGATTAATTATAGTTTTATCTATTAATTAATGGAAATGCTACGAGATTAATATTGTATATATGTGGAAAGAGAGACTTTTCTTTCAACTTATCATGCTTGCTTCTCTATATTGTCTTTTTGTTTAAGTAAAATTAAGAATTGTTAATGGAGGGTAGTATTAATTAGTGGTTATTAACATGTTACACATCAGGATCAATACGTCAGGTAGGGGCGGATTGCCTGTGTCCACTTACATTCCTTGTTACATAAAATAAAAATATACAGGTAAAGATTTTATGAACAGTTGCTATTAATCAACTTGTAATCAGGAGTAGCCCACTGGAAGAGTCATGTATATTTCAGTCGAAGAACAAAAAATCATATTTCAACGCGATGAAGGGTGGGCGTATCCCCAAAAATTTTGCTTTGTATAAATCAAATAGTATTACCTTTTATACATATATATTAAATAGTGCCAAACTTAATAAATTTACATACGTAATTATAAAAAAATTAAATAAGTATTGAATAAGCACCCATCACTAAATTTATTTTTCCTTTTCTTCTGATATTTTTACCGGTAGACATCCATAACTTTGAAATTTTGGATCCGCCACTAATATTAAATCTTGAACGCTCTTAGAAAAATTTCTATTTTCACCGTCGATTATGCCCATATGCACGTTGGTGGAGGAAAGAATGAAGAAGAGCTTTCTTTACCTAATAAATTAACCAATGAGCCAACAACCACCCTGAAGGCTAGGGTCCTGCTTTCATATTGTACCAACTCCAATTTGGATTTTATTTAGGGATGGTAATGGTGCGTTGTGAGTGCGGGGCGGTACGGGTTTGAGCTTATGCGTGACGGTGTGGGTTTAGGCATGTGCAGGTGCGGTGCGGGACGGGGCGGGTTAATTTTTCTGAAAAGAAATTTTTGCGGGTTGCGGGTCAATTTTTTCCTACTGTATATTTAGTTACTCGCATGAATCTCGTTTTCAAGCTTTTCAATATGTTGCTTATACCATTTTTAAAAGATATTCATGTGGATCATTATACTGTGTTGTCTTTAATTTCCAAATATTTTTATTTATTTTTCATGCTTCAATCTAAATACCTTTGATTATTGTATAAAGCTCGAAATGTTCAAAAATGACATTAAACATTGGAGGAACTTCACTACTCCTATATATAAACTACTTTGACTTTTTTATTTGACCCTCTCAAAATTTAAAAATAATAATATTTTCCTCTATTCTCCATATCGTGAGACTTGAGAGTTGAGAGTGCTCTTCGTCAACCATAAAAATGCATCTCTGAAGCTTTTCATGTTATGGAGAAGGTCTATATATATAGGATTACTGTTATTGAAAAACCCAGTTATGTTAATCTGTTTTGCATTTTTTAGTTATGGGCATTAAATTCCTTTTTCTTACTCTTTTGGGAGTTTCATTTGATTCTTTTCTTTACCAATGTTCTATATTGATCTTGTGGTACAACTGATTATTTTCATTATCTGTAAAGTAAATTTTGATTTAACAATTTGAGCATGAATTGGTTCTTATCTTAGCTATACTCATATAATATCCGTGTGAATATCACAATTTATTTTTCTAGTTTTCTAATTATCACATTATCGAAAATATCACAAGAATGGGCCTTGAGATAATATGAAGATGCTCCAACTAGTGTATTGAAAGTTTCTAAAAATAAGACAATTTGAAGAAAAAAAGTACTGAAAAACTTAGTGAAGTGGGGCGGGGTGGGGNACTTATTACGAGTGAAGGATTGTTATACACGAATTACTTACTTTAAAGGACATTTTTTATCTTTAAATAGTTTAACGTAATCTTATTTCACATGTTATCCTTATAAATAATGGAGTAGATAAATTTTCACATATCTTGATGGAGGTACTATTTAATACTGCCAACCAAAAGCTTGATTACTTTTGCTTATGCCAAAAAAGCAACCAAACGCTATTGTCTTTATGAGATTTTATATGATATCAATTGTTCCAATACCATCAACAACTCCTAAGAAAACGACAAATAGAGAGCTGTGGGCGGCTTTCTCTACTTATGAGGAGGATTTGTTAACTGTTGACTCCAAATTTCAAAGATTAAAGAAGTAGTAATTAATGCAAAAACAACCAATTGGAAATCAAGAATCATGCTTGTAATCCTCCAAGATACCAACAAATGAACTATATACAATTGGATCCCTATATCGGCTAAAAATATTAGATTCATCTTTGTCCTATGACTCATCCTTTCTGCACACTTTCACTCAGTTATCTGTAAGAGCTTAGCTACTAAGAAGCCTTCAGATCATTCTTATAGAGTCAACATAAGATCCTGCTACTTGTTTCAACTTACTTAGAAATTTACTTTGATGATGACAGGAAACATGTCCAGTTTCTGAGGTAGAGGCAATTAGAACAAAGTTCTCTCCATTCCCAACATCTATCTCATACAACCCTGCAAAAACTTCTTGAAATTCAACAATGACTGACTTGTAAGACGACTGGTCTGAAGGAATCACATTTATGATAACAACACCATCTTTTCTAAGCAATGTCCTCGCGGCCAATAACACTGACTTTTGCAAGAAATCTAAAGGAGGAGCACTCGTACCCATACTAGCATTGCTCGAGTCTAAATCAACCATGATCACATCAAACTTACCATGAAATTTATTCAAACAATCATTCCCAGTGAAATCACAATAACCACGAAAACTATCATTATCTACTTGAGTCGCGAATTTCTCAATCATTTCTATAGCATCTCCAACACAGACATGGACCAAGTCACCATGTACCAACCCGAAAAATCTCCTTGCAACCTCCAAAATAATATGATCAATCTCAACACCAAAGACTAGAAAACCTAAGTGGGAACTCAAAAAACCAAGAAGCGCCCCTCCACCAACACCCAAACACAAGGCTTTTGGCTTTATCCCTTTTCCAATTTGCTCGTCCAAATATGAAGCGATTACTGAAAGACCAGCCACCATTGGAGTCAAATAAGGATGAACTAGATCCCCATCATCAACCACCTCAAATTCAACGCCTTCCATATCAACAAAATCCACTTTCTTGGGACGGATTCTTATCTGAGTTTGTACCAAATTTGGCATTCTCTTGAATCTCAGTCTCCTCCTAAACTCTCTATCCCCATTTTCCAATTCCAACTCCACATCTTCTACCAGCATTTCTCCAACACATTGTCCAACACATCTTTCCAATACCAGACTCCGAATTACCCCATCTTCATAGCTCAAGAACGGAATTTCAGGTATTTCAGGTAGCCCATCACCTGTTCGACGAAATGCCAATGTGGGTGTCAACTCAATCAACANTCTCTTGAATCTCAGTCTCCTCCTAAACTCTCTATCCCCATTTTCCAATTCCAACTCCACATCTTCTACCAGCATTTCTCCAACACATTGTCCAACACATCTTTCCAATACCAGACTCCGAATTACCCCATCTTCATAGCTCAAGAACGGAATTTCAGGTATTTCAGGTAGCCCATCACCTGTTCGACGAAATGCCGATGTGGGTGTCAACTCAATCAACAGAGGCAACAATTTTTCTTCAAGAACAGATGAATCAGCGGTACAATTGGAGTGCAATGTGGGATTATACGAAGTGGGGTGTGGGGAATTCGGTGAATTGCCGATGATTATGAGGCGAGAGAGATGAGAGAAAGTGAGGAGGATTTGAAGATGACCTTGTTCTGTAGAAAAAATCCAGTCTGATTCGCGGTTAATTGGAACTAACATTGCTGCGATTTGAGTCGGATTTGAAGGGAGAGGTGAATCAAGAATTGAAATGCGGAGTTCTTGAGTATGGAAGTGATTGAGATGAAGCAATGGGTTTGGGATTGTGAAGGTAATGTAGCGAGATGGGACTATGGATTTGAAGATAGTTGGATTCAGTTGCGACATTTTTGAGAAAATGGGAGGGAAGACGAAAGCTGCAATAGGAGAATGGGAATTTACCAGAATTCGTTGGGTTTAAATATTTTAAAGCAAAAGATCTCAACCATCCACGTCACCGCTGCTTCGCCTTTTTAAAATGGTTGTTAATTTCGTTAATCTGACTAATCCCTTTTTCACCAAACGACGCCGTCTTATTTCATAATACTGAAAACTATGTCGTTCGCTTCTCTCTTTCCCTATTTTAAGTACTTTGTGATGATTAAAGTAGACTGTAGACTGTAGAGTTGAATGGTGTTCACCCTTCTGTTTTCCAAATAGCCACTCCAAAATAATACGTACTATTTAGCTTTGAGAAAAAGGACTTAGATTACATTGTTTAAAGTTTAAACCCAACTTCTGTGTAGAACTCAATTAGCTCTTTGTACTGATTAAATAGGGCTTTTAACACGTTTAGTCACTCCATCAAAATAATTACAACTGCTAACCAAATATACACTGAATAACAAACGTATGTATATTCTACATCAATACACAAAAAATATAATTTTTCGGCTATTATTTTGGCGACAACCTAGACTATGTAAACCCCCATTGAAATTGGCATGGCCCCTTTTATTTCTTTGATCAAAATGGTTTATGTGGTTGGTCCTAGGATAATTGAATCGTCGGCAAGTGGCAGGTATAAAAAAATTTTTAAAAACACAAATTTGTGGGGATGAATCACAATTGCAAAACTCAAACGAGATAGAGAATCGTGATTTTTAGAAGCATGAATTATAATTTGTAGAGCATGAACTATCTTGAGTTCTAATGGCGAAATTTCAAAATATGTGGAGCATAAAATTAAAATTTAGAATCTGCCTCTTGAAACGGTGAAATCTTAAAGGCTGAACCCGTCACATTCAATATAAAATCTACCTCTGCATGCATATTGAAGTTGAGCCACTTAATACAAAAAGATCTTGAACCTCATCAGAGTAACAACAATAACAATATATATACCCAATATTATTCCACACCGTAAGGTCTGGAAACCTCATCAGAGTACAATGTACCAAAGCATAGCCTACAAAGCAACTGAAGTTCAACTCAATCATCTGAACGAATGAAGAGACTATCAGGTGGAATAAGTTACATGTTGCTTAAATTCTGAGAACACTAACAAAACTGCACAGAAACAACCTCTAATTTTGGGAAACCAATACTGTGCCAACAGAAAAACGACCAATGCTTAAACCTTAAAGGGTGAAATCAATTAGCTTGCTAATTTAGCTTAGTACCTTAGTTTTTTTTAAAAAAAAGATGCATAACTTATTCAGCTGGCTGTTATAGTTAAATGCAAGATAACCATCTAAAACATTGACTAAAGACATAAGTCACGTGAGCTAATGGAACAACTTATTACCTTGAAATAGTTAAAAAAATTATCGTTTGCTACTTGTTCCGGTTAGGGATATAGTAGATTTGCCCTAGATCCATTCTCATATTTGATGATTTGAACATATTTTTGTGAATGTTATTTGATATAAAAATATATGACATTCTTTTATCATAGTTATTATCAATTGTTTGATTCATTTGATAAGGTCCTTGATTAAATTTTGAGATTTGTCATCGTGATAAAGATCATGATAATGAGAACAAAGTCTCTTATAATTTAATCTAAATTTGTTCTTAATCGTAGGATTATTAATTTGGACATTAGTAATCCGGTTAGATCAATATTTATGTGATCGTCTTTATTGGATAAAGATTAGTTGATCTCATTAACTAAATCACATAGATAGATGATACATATAGAGATATGATCATTGAACCGACTCATTGGATAATTCCTAATGATTAGAATTACCATAACTGTCAATAGGATATTCTCTTGAAGAATGTGATGTAAATATTTTCTTTGATCTGATATCGTCATAGTAATTGACAAGTTATTTATTGTGCTTTGATACCAGTCACCTATGATCCTAGGGCGATAGTTGAAAGGATATTGGGTATGATTAAATGCTTGTAGAATTAGTAATTGATCAAGATGGAATCTGTCAACTCTTGGTAATGAGTTTAAGCTCCATGTTGTCATGAATTATAAACGACCAAACTAAGACCTTGGCCATGGCAATGAATGAAAGAAGAAAAGAGTTTTTTAGGTCATTCAATGGTCGATTATATTTGACATGAACACATAGTTGGTCGCCAATTAGGATTTGACAGTTGAACCATATCCTAGGGTGATCCAGAGCTATAAGAACAGAAAGAATTACTATATTATTCTTCTACTGGTTCTTGAGAGTAAATTGTATACTTCATACTATCCGGTCGTTAAGGAGTGTTGCTAGACGCCACCCTTGATTAGTATATTGATGTGGTCAATTTACTACCGGCTTAGTATTGAACCTATGAGGTCACACACTAACGAGTGTTCTGATCTTTGCTAAAGGGTTAATTACTTTATTATTTGATAATTAAATTAAAGNACGAGAATCTAATTTTAAGTTGGAGGAATGGATTCGGCAGTCACTTTCTCATGAAGACGTGATTTATCAATTTTCCATAAAATTCGATTGAAGTTTATTTTTGGAATAAATTTTTATCCTAAGTAAATCATTACCTCAACCAAATACGTAAAGGGTTTATAGGTAATGCTATATAAAGGGTGATGAAGAATATTTGCCGCATTAAATTCTAGAGAAGAAAAACACTTTGTGAAAGTGAGAGTGCAATACAAAGCCAAGAGAGAAAATATAATTACAAGAAAAGTGTTTCTTGTTCTTCTAATTTGAGTTGAGATTTTTGAGAAAAATTTCAGCACAAGTTTTTCGTTCAATTTGTTCGCGGGTTTCATTGATCAAAGATTTGATAGCAAGGATCGGTCTCGGTGTGGATACACATAGAGTCTTTGCACTATCGAAGAAATTTTGAAACGAGACTCTCTTCACCAGGTACGTCTTTGATCCGATCTTTGACATGTAAATAAATTTTAAACACGAAAAGATCTGCCTAGGATTGTTATTGTCTTCCGCTGCGTGTTACGAACACCTATACGCAATTCTTCAATTCCATATTAGGATTCCTGTCAAGGCGAACAAAAGGGTTCAAAGAAAGGAAATCAAGCAATAACCGCCAACATTTGTTGAGGATAAAGGAGTGACTTGATTATGAGAGTAGTTTAGCTTATTTATGTGTGGTTGATTAGTTAGGAAGTTAGTGAGGTTAATGAGGTACTTAGTTTGTTACAATAGTGGTTTGTCACACGTGTGTATATATGTGTGTAAGTGTAAGAGATGCACAATAAGTGGTAAATACAATTTTTTCACTGTTTTATTCATTTCTCTTCCTCAAATAACTTCTTCCTTTTCTCTTTCTCTTCTCCCTCGTAGCTAGGGTTTCTACAGGTGATTAATCACCAAACTTCAGCATGGTATCAGAGCTCCGAGCTCGGAATTGTAGCTCAGATATTGATTATCAACTTCTTCTCAGTCTAATTTCTGGAACAAATTTTTTTGGTTCAAAATCTATTTTTTTAAAAAAAACTTGAAATTGCTCAACAATGGTAGTTGATGATTTGTTGAGAGAACACAATTGTTACTACTGAAAATGCTTCACATGCATCGTCAGATGATAAATTTGAGTAAAGAGTGACATTAGCAGTCACTCATCCTCTGTACTTAGCTCCCACCGATACAAGTGGAATCTCCTTGATCTTGTTTCAGTTAACCGGTACTAACAATGACTCCTTATGGCATCGATCTATGTGAATCGCCTTACTTGGCCGTAATAAGCTTAGGATTGTTGATGACAGGTGGCCTAAGGAGCGGTTTCGTGAGAAGTACTGGTATACATGGGAGAGGTGCAATGCAATTGTGTTGTCATGGTTGATGATCAATGGCCCCGACCTTAATTAGTGGCATTGCTTACGCTACTAGTGCACATGTAGTGTGGATAGATCTTCAAGAACACTTTGATAAGGTGAATGATACACATTGCTACAATTTGCACAAGGAAAATTGCCACCTTAAATCAAGGTACTGCATCTATCTCTGTTTACTAATCGAAGCTCAAAGATGAGACTTAATCTGTAGTACCTACTCCTGGCTGTGATTATGTTAAGACAAAAGAATTTATTGTGCATCTACGAAAACAGAAGGTGTACCAATTTCTAATGGGCTTAAATGACTCTTACTCTTAAGCTCGTAGTCAAATTCGTATGATGAAACCCCTACCTACGGTGAATCAATCTTATGCTATGCCCATGAGTGATGAAAGTCAAAGAGCTGTAGAAACCACTGCTGGAGTGTTAGGATCTGCTCCTAATGTAAACACAAATGCCTATCAGTCTACTGCTTTGTATAGTGCTAAGCCTAATTTCAATCCAAAGTTTAGGAAGAATTACAATATTTAGTGTGAGTTCTATAAAATGAAAGGCCACAGTAAGGAAAACTACTACAAAATCATAGGATATCCACAAGACTATAAGTTTAACAAGGAAATGGGAGCTGGAACATACAATGCTATAATAGAACCTAGTCATGATGTGCCTTTGCACACAAATCATGTCTCTCAGAACATGTCAATGACACCAATGCTAATGTAATCCATGTCCATGCATCATGACCATCAGTATGTGAGCCAAACTACTAAAGGATTACAAGGTCAAGGAAACTCTGGCACTCAAACTCAAGTAGGTTCTTCCTTCTCACAGCCTTAGGGATCAGCAAGTACTACTTCACAAGGAGGTGGTTTTCCCTTCACCAAGGAACAATATGATCAAATAATGCAGATTTTGAATAATAGCCCAACTCCTCCTACTCAAGCAAATGCAGCAGGTATTGATACTACCTTATTAGCATCCACTAACTCAAAAGATGGATAATTGATATAGGTGCCACCAACCATATTGTGTCAGATGTTAATTTACTGACCAAAACCTCTCTAATCATACCTTCTAAGTGTAAAAAAGTTCTACTACCTCATGGAGATATCACTCAAGTTACTCAGATTGGAGATAGTCATATTTCAGATAGAAGCACTATTAAAGAAGTGCTCTATGTACCTCAATTCAGATTCAACTTATTGTCTGTCTCTAAAGTGACAAGAGATCTAAGATGCTTTACTTCCTTTTATCCTGATTTATGTATATTTCAAGATCTCTTCAGTGGCAAGGTGAGGGAGATTGGTAGCGCAAGAGATGGGCTATATTTCCTGCAGAAACATGGGTCCAAGAAGCTTACTGCAGTCGCTTTAGTTGCAGCTGGAATAAAGTCAAGAAATACTGA